GTGTGTGTGTGTGTGTGTGTGTGTGTGTGTGTGTGTGTGTGTGTGTGTGAATGCAGGTGCCTAAAGAGGCCAGAAGAGGGTGTTGGATCCCCTGGAGTTACAGATGGTTGTGAACCACTCCACATAATTCCTGAGGAACTGAGCTTGGGTAAGAGTGATAAGAGCTCTTACTCACCGAGACATCTCTCCAGCCCTTATATTGATTACATTTTACAGGGTTTTTATTTTAATTTAGTTGATTTATTTATGTCTGTGTATGTCTTCATGATTGTGTATGCACGCGGGTGTGACTATAGACGCCCAGGCAACAGAGGCCAGAAAAGGCCTCAGACCTCTCTGAGCTGGAGATTTAGGTATCTATGGACCCAGAGTGGATACACGAGTGCTGGAATCTAACCTCTGGTCCTCATGATTTGCATAGCCAGGTTTCATAACTGATGGAGCATCTCTCCATCCCTATTTTTACTCTATAAAAATGCACTTATATACCCCCCCATCTGGTATCCTTATGAGGAGTCCATGTTTACAAATGTGAAGAGTACCCTCAGAAAGACAAAGCCCCATCATAGGGGTCTATTGTTCAGGGACACAGGATGTGAGCATTTATGCTGCTATTGCAAAACCATGAAGGTGTGGTTATCAAGATGCAGAAGCAAATATGTCAGACATTATCTCAAAGTCTCTCTGTTTGTGGTACGCCAGTGACACTGTTGCTAAACATGAGCGGGAATAGCTCTCTTCATTCAGGCAGCTTGTGAGTAGCAGAGTTACAAACCGTCTTGTCATTTCTTCCAGTTTAGCCAGAGGCACAGCCGGCAAGCTCTTCTCAGCTCTGGTTTCAAAGGCCAAAAGAACATTCGAATGATAGTCGAAGCTGCCCATCAGACTCTGAAATTTAGAAACATGAAAATCCAATTTATCTCTAAATGCTGCAAAGGAAGGAAAGTCCATTATGCCTATGGTATATCTGTTTTCAAATAAATGTCCGAAAGCCTGATGGATCGATCAATTGACTGAAATAGAATCAGTCATATACTGTAAACTCTGCTGGCCTGGAACTCACTATGCACCCTAGACTAGCCTTAAACTTGTGGTAATGCTCCTGTCTCAGCCTTCAGAGCGCTATGCTCATGGTAGGAGCCACCATGTCTGGTTCTCATCTGTTCTTTTTACCTAAGATTTTCATATCCATTATTTCAGCATAAATGTATTTAGGGGGGACCTTTTCCCAAACGGCGGCAAGCAATGTCTTTGGCAAAGTCGTTAGCAAAATCCTTTGTTTTCCCAAGTCTCTCCATGCCTCTAGAAACATAACTGCTCGAACTCTCACAAACCATATTTGCCCACACATTTGCATTGAGAACCCAATCACCCTCATTTTCTTCCCCTTGGCATCTTTTGGGTTGTTTCTTGGTTGGATATCACAGCTGCTTTAGAGTCAACTGGACTCTACCTTTCCTGATTTCTGTCTTGAACAGCTCAACAGTGGTGAATGTGAAAACACCTCCATTTAATTGGGGGTTGTTTGTGTCACAGGGTCTCTCATGTGGCCCAGGTGGCCTCAGATTTATTATAAAGCCAAGGGTGACCCTGAACTCCAGATCTCCTGTTCTACCTCCCAGGTGCTGCTGCCACCATGAGGGCCTCTGGACCGCAGGGGACGCATGCTACACCACCCTCAGCCACCATGGTATTTGATTTTCTTCCTAGAATACAGTTTTCCTCAAGGACAAACCCTAAGAATGGGTTAATTTTTCCGTGAGTTTCTTTTCCTACCTTGAATAAAGATATTTTCCCTTGGATCAGAGTCCTGACTTCAGAATAATTTTGGGAGGTCGGCACCCCTTCTTCTACAAGCCCCTCTACATCCTTCAGCCACGATTCGGTCTCTTTGAGCGGGGAAGGCAAGGCGTCATCCAGCTGGGCTTTCCATGCAGCGACCTGAAACAAGGCAGAGCCGTCAGCACTCAGCCAGCCTAGCCCAATTCTTCACTGACTCGTGTTAACTTCATGTGCCTCAGAAAGCCAAGGCTGACTTACTAAAGGAATTTTATCAATGGGCAAACAAAATAGTTCTAAATATTACTTTACTACTTGCAGAGGAGGAATATAATTAGTTTAAAAGCTGTTGGAACAGACACAAGGGGGAGAATATGAGGTTGGGAGAATCTCGAGTAAGTTGCATAGGGGAAATTAGAACTATTTAAAGTTCTCCTCCAAACAAGGACAGTCACAGAAAGAACTGTCTGAAACACCACATGGCCATGTGTCCTTTGACTGGTTTTAGTCAGGGTTTCTAGATGAACAGAAATCTTCCTTAGGACAACACTGTAACCACAATTCACACACACATGCACGCACAAACACACACACACAAGCATGCACACACACATGCACACAGACACACACATACACACACACACATGCACACATACACACATACACACACATACACACACATGCACACACACACATGCACACATACACAAGCATGCACACACGCACGCACGCACGCACACACAGCTTGCTCTCTCATCTCTCTCACTAACTCTGACCACACGTCAACAGTCCACCTGACCCTCCCTTCTTTCCTTCAGTAAATCCCATCTTGGTCCAAGTTCTCATCTTCTACCGAGCAGGTTCTGGGGACCAAAGTAAGGTCATCAGGTCATCTGCAAGCACACTTACCTCCCTAAAATAAATTCCTTATGATTTATGGAATTTAGTAAATGCTTGGCTGGCATGCCTATTTTTATATTCCTATATGCCCTGAGTTATGGAAGATGATTTTAAGAAAGAAAAGAACAAGAAGCTGAGGGAACCCTGCTCTGACCCAACTCTATTCTTTGCACAACTAAATGAAAGCTCTCTATATTTTTAATTAAATCAAAACTTTTAGAAGACAAACAGTGGCAACATTTACCTTCATTCCTTCCTACTCTTGAACAATGAACACACACACACATGTGCACACACATGCACACACACATACACACACACACGCACATTCTACACATTCATTCTACACATCCTTCCAAAAGGATTATTTTTTAATTTGGCTCAAAGTGTATGAAAGGTCTTACCAGATCAAAATTAGGTAATGTTGCTATTGTCTGCAGCAGGCTTTTTTTTTTTTTTTCCCCAGAGCTGAGGACGGAACCCAGGGCCTTGTGCTTGCTAGGCAAGCGCTCTACCACTGAGCTAAATCCCCAACCCCTGCAGCAGGCTCAAGAGGAAAGAACTTACTAACTTTCGTGCATAAACGAAGATGTCGTAATGAAATCCATTACTTTGTATGTCAACTTTAAAATTAATAAATAAATAATATCCATAAACTATGGAACCAAAATTGTAGAGATGGCATTAGCTCGATCACGCCTAGTGAGTTTAAAATTAGCATATCTCATTTCACCGCACCCAGAAAAAGATAGATTTTTTAATATACTATTAGTTTGGAGCTTGTAACCTTGTGGAATAATTCTTTTTGTGGTTTTCTCATTATTTCAGGTAATTTTTTCAAATCATATTCTGAAAAAAAAAATCAAGCCAGGTCTCTGTGGCCTGAAACACTCTGAACTATACAGACAACGCTTCTCTGATTTTCGTATTATTATGGACTAGTTGTTGCACACAGCTCCAGTCGTTTTACAACTGGTTCCCAGAATGCACTGGGCACTGTTGTCTGCTGGTGAGATTCCTTGAGCTGCACTAGTTCCTCCGATGAGATCTCTTGAGAGTGGCTCAGGGAAGCCATGCACACTTATCTGACACATACAGTAAGTGATTTAGAAAAGACATTGCAAAAATAGGTGTCACTCCTGATCAGCAAGCAGAGATCTACAAATGTCTCCTGTGCAGCGCCTAGACAGAAAACAGTGAGCCAGAGTCTCTCTGTAAATGTATTAATATGAGTAAATTCTATAATAAACTTAATACATTCGTTTAAAAATCATTTAATGGGGGGCTTCCTGCCTTACAAAGGACCCATGTTAGATTCCCAGTACCATTTGCATAGGATGGCTTACTACTGTCTGCAACTCAGGCTCCAGGGGATCTGACATCTGCCCTCTGTGAGAACTGAACTCATATGCATAAACACATGGACACAAGACACACATACATATACAGAGATACACAGACACACGCATAAACATAAAAAACAAAATTTTTCATTATAAAACATTACTGGTGTGAGGAGAGGAGGGTTCAGTGGGCAGGAGCACTTGCTCTACAAGGATGGGGACCTAAATTCAAACCCCCGGCACCCCCACAAAAGGGCATGGCGGCACATGTCTATACCTCCAGCATCAGAGGAGAACATACGAAAATCCCAAAAGCTCACTATCTTGCTAGCCAAACAAGCCAAAAAGGCAAGCTTCTAGCTCAGAGAGAGACCTAAAGGCAGGAAATCAGAAAGCAATAGAAAAAGACAATGGTACTCTTTGGCCTCCCAACAGGGTCATGCATCTGCCCACTCGTGTGCACATGCTATAAACACATACACTTCGCAACACATAACAATTCACAGACAGACATACAACCATTTCATTATCCATTTAAAATGGGTAAATCATAAGATGTGTAAATTAAATATTAATAAAATTAATTTTAAAAAAGGCAAAATAAGCACGCTTAGAGATGAAGGAAATGAAGCCAATCTGTTACTGTGTTATGTTATTAGTTAAAGAGTTGTGGGGGGGGGGGATTAAGAAATGCTCAAAATCTATAGGAAAAACCAGAAACTGCAAATATTCTTCCCACCCCACCCCCTTGTTTTTTTGTGGCAGGGTCTCCTCATGTAATTTTAGCTGGCCTGCGACTTGCTTTGTAGACCAGGCCTCTGCCAAGCTCTGGGATTAAAGGTGTGGCCACTAGTAATGGGAATTATCTAGGTAGCCATGAAAGACCGGAGTTTTCTCTTAAATACTTTAAAGTGAGGGCTGGTGATGAGTGAGCGGTGAAGGCACCTGGCTCCTCTTGTAGGGGAGCGTGGGTCAGCTCCCAGCATGCATGTTGTGTCACTCACAACCACCTGTGACTCCAGCTCTTCTGACTTCCACGGGCATCTGCACATACGTGCACATATCTACCCCGACACACACACAGACACACACACAATTACAAATATAAATAAACTTTAAAAAATTCCTTAATACATAGTTGCTAAAAATATATTTATATAC